CAGACAGATAGACAGAGCAGACAGTACAGACAGAGAGCTAAAGAAAGAAAGAAAAGAAAGAGCAGAGGCAAGTAGATAGATATTTGTAAGATTTGAATAGAATCGATGAGGGAGATAGATAGATAGGAGGAAAGAGAGAGAGAGAGGCAAAATCAGTAAGAGAGAGATGAAAAAAGAAAGACAGACAGGCACAGACAGATACATAGACAGAAAGATAGATAGATAGAGAGAAAGGGCAAGAAAGAAAGGGAATGAGATAGCAGGAATTGAAAGAAAGAGAGAGAAAGCAATAAAGAAAAGAAAGGGAAGAGAGAGAGAGCAAGAAAAAAAGGGAGAAGGAGAGAGGGCAGGAAAAGAGAGAAAGTAAAGTGCATGAAAGAAAAGAAAGGGGAGAGAGTGAGGAGAGAAAGTGCATGAAAGAAAGAAGGGGAAAGCAGGAGAGCAAAAAGAAAGAATGAGAGAGGAGAGAGCAGAGAGAAGAGAGAGAAAGAAAGCAGGAAAGAACAGGAAAAAGGGAGAGAGACAAAAGACAAACAGAGACAGATCAATAGAACGAAAGACGGGCAAAAAGACAGAAAGAGAGAGAAAGAAAATTACTTTCGCCAAGCCTAACTCCCACTCACCGAATGCTCCGAAATCGATCCCACTCAGCTCAGTATCCTCTGTGTCTCTTTGTTCGAAGCTTCGGGGCAAATGAAGCCGAATTCCTGCCGCTTTAAGACCTCGTCCATTTTGCTCGAACCCCACGTGACTCAATATCTCCTTTGACATAGTGCTTTGTCATCATTACTGTGATTGTTATTGTTTGTATTGATGGCCTTGTTGTTATTCTTGTTATGGATACTAACCTTATCATCATCAGTATTGTCATTATTATTGTCAGTATTGTGTGTATGTGTGCTTTATTTATTATTTTATCTATTTGTTTATTTATTATATATATTATGCATACACAACACGAATATATATATATATATATATATATATATATATATATATATATATATATATATATATATATATATATATGCATATTATATGTATGTATGCATATATATGTGTGTGTGTGTGTAGGCATAGTTGTATTTTTTGTTTATATGCTCTTTTTACGCATTTCACCTTTTGACAAACAAATGCATACGCCAATCTCTGACACACGATCGGACATGTATATATTCAAATGCGTTTATAACATACACAGCGAATGTAGCGGGTGTCTGCATGAGACTTGTGAGCATAAAACAGGCCATGCAAAATACAAAATCTGATTTACCTTTTCTCTCCCTTTTTCTCTCTATATATCTACCTATTTCCGTATCTATATGTATGTCTATCCATCTGCCTATCTTTCTACCAATATATCCGTCTATCTATCTGTCTCTATATCTATCTCTCTATATTTCTTTCTCTCTTTCCCTTCGTCTCCATCTCTCTCTCTCTCTATCTATCTATTTATCTCTTCTCTCTCTCTCTCTCTCTCTCTCTCTCTCTCTCTCT